GGCAGCTACCTTCCTTTTGTGCACTGCTGACTGACGTATCGGATTGCCATGTTCGGGAAAAATGTGTGCTCAATCTGTCCACAATATTTTTAAATAGGGCGATTTTACCACAATAGGAGTATCTTCTGATAATATTCCATTCTGTGAGTTCCTAAGGCCTGTTGAGGGTTTATTTCAAAACGGCACAAACGTTCTCCTTACACCATTGGACACTACAGCTTGAGCATTGCTGCTTCCTCGACGCGTAAATAAATTGACAGCATGCCAATTTTTATCTGTTTATGAATTTCTAGTTTGATTTAATGAAGGTCGTGCACACTGGACATTGATGACTGTTCCATTTGTGCCCATGAATAGAAGTTAATGCTTCTCTTCTATGGTTCAGTTGCTAAGGTCAAGTTCTCGCTCAACGAAGGGGTTGGTCTCACAAAGTCAATGTCGTACTGCATTAAAATTATGTAAGCTATGAGGTAATCTAACAAAGGGAGCTACGTTAATCTCTACCTCTACACATTTACGAAGGGAATGTTTGAAACTCCAGGTCATTCATTCAGTGCTTATACATTCCCTTGATGTTACTGCACAACGCTGCAACAGAGATGAAAAGCGTATCTCATTTGTATGATAGCATTATTGCTTCAAGGTTTCAAGGTTTCTCACCATGTAATACTTATGTAACACCCTGTCTATTCCACCAAGTAGGACATATGGAGCGTACTTTACCAAGAAGACCAACCTCTGAGTCAGGTGCACCAGTTACGTTCTGCCACAGATGCGTTTATAAACAAGTTGTCAGAAGGTTTTAAGTCATTTTTTTAAATTGGGCGTTAATTCTCCAGTCAATTGTCATTTGGAGTCGGAGAGACGATCATGATAAACAGTCCTGAACATTATATTTTCGATGTTTAGCACAAAGGAGTTCCTCATGTTGCATTTTAGTTACACGTCATATTTCAACACGGTTGATGTAAATACTTTGACCCATCAGTTATTACGACATGTGAACTCGCTGTTTCCCTTCATACCTCTACTCATCTTTTTGTCCTATTGTACTTAACGCGCTTTTCTATAATTTCGGACTAGGGTGGCGTGTATGTGGCATACTTAAAAGACCCTCCCGAAGACGGAGAAGCCGTTATACAAGGGTAGAAAATGTATTGCCAACCTACAAAGACACTTAGCGTCTCTTGGCATGGTCTGGAGATCAGACTGCTTGGTGGAAGCACAGTGGCGGGGTCCTAAGTAGATCATTACCGGAACAAAGGCTTGAAGATAGTTGTAGTATTATAGATAACTATTTTAACTTTGAAAAACTTCTCATTCCCTTCATCTCAAAAGCAGTAAGGGATTTTCATTATCCAGCTAGGATCATTTCATAAACAGTCTTATTTTTTGGCTTTAAGAAGAGGAAAGTGTACTTCATTTTCTGATTGTATTTACACTTTTCCCTCCATAGGCTCTCATTTTAAGTTCAAATTCTGCGGTTCACCCCATCGAGTTTGAAACCATCAAAAAACCTTTTAGTAACATTTATACGGAATTGGACGTTTAGCAAAAGGTACGATGTAAGCAGGAGTCTCTCCATACGGGCGCTTTAAAAGTATAGTTTATATATTCTGGTTGACTTTACACTTGTAACTGTCGAGTTTGCCAATCTCATCAATCGTAACTATACCTGTCTACTCCAAGGACCAAACCAACCAGCATTGGGAAGAAGAATTATTAGTTTGTGCAATATCTCAAACTCGTCAATCATATTATAACTGATGTTAAATTGACAATATCCCCAGACTTGCGTCATTCATGTGGACTCTGATGGTAACGCATGTTTAGTCTTAGGTGCATTGGTGATTTGTTTACAAGCATATGGAACCACCAGCGTTTCGATGCTATCCGAGTAATTTTATTTAATTTCGATATCTTTCAGGGCGTCCATTATCAGCAATGAATGGGGACCTGACTCCTGCAGAGGCCTGTGAACTGAAGGCCTCCCTCGGACGATTAAATGGAAGATCTCCCGGCCCTTCTTCATCCCCAACCGTCTCACCATCTGTCAAAGTAGCCAATCAACCAGACAATGTGTGGACAGCGCGTAAATTAGCTGCTCTTGGTGGCTACGCAGAAACTCCAGCTGCTAACACTGCCACCACTACCAACATGAATAGTGGAAAATCCGACAGAATTGGAGAGAAACCAAATCACATATCTTCTTCCGCCGTTGCTGCTGCACCCGGGAAACTCAACTCCGTCACCTCTGACACCGCTTCCAGCAAACAGGGTATTGTGGAGAAACACAAGAAGACCTCGAAGAACGGTGTGTGTATGCGTTGTTAATTTGTCTGGTGACCATTTTTGGATTGGAAAACAGGCTCTTTTAAAGGGAAGTGTGCTTGTCACTGTCTGAATAGTGAGAGGGTGAGGTTTTTATTATTAACGGTTCTACCAATTATTGCGAAATTCATGCTTTTATTTTCTAGTTCAATCTGGATGTACACATATCGATTGGAGTCTTAGCCAGAGAGTTCTGTCTACATACTGATAAATAATGGTTAGTAGAGCCAAACCAGTTAGTGCTCAGTCCAATTTGGTAGTTTTTGAATGCTCATGGCTTTTGAGTACCCTTCAGGCAATTCGCTTATCCGACTCGTAAATATACGAATGATAACTTGCTCAGACCCTTTGTAGGCAACCCTTTTTCCTATACTTGTTCCGGATTTTACAATTTGCATTGAAGCTGGATTTTTGACTACTTTTCTCCTGCTTTGGCTTATTCCCGATTCAGCAGTATGACGAGTTAGTGGAATCCTAGCTTATAAACGAAACGCCAGAGTCAAGTCACCAAGTCTGCAAGCAACAGAGGCAAAGTTTATTAGTCTATCCGTCACTAACAGACAAAGTATATTAAAAGCAGCCTCTAAGGCTGAGATTATGACCACTAAAGGGGGCCATTCAGCCCCCCTTGGCGCAACTGCTTCGACCTTTCACTTGACGCGGGCGCCAATTAAGAACCGCCTCCATTGTCTAGCTCTATCATCCTCAAATCACCGCAAACAATAATCTGGAGACAGGATTGTCGCAGTCTAGGGAAAATATTTGTTAAGACTAAAACATCTTTGGCAATCTGATTGCTTTGTCTTTGATCAAGTCGACAATGCGTTAAGATGGAAAAAAGTTGGTCTCGTCACTGCGCTAACGGCAACCTTTATGTTTCCCTTCTACCCCGGGCGTGAAATTCTAAATTGGAGGAGAAGAGGAAGAGGACAAGAACATTTTATTTTAAAAGGATGATGAATCGTTCTTTACCTAGAGGTGGGAAAGGGAATGCCGATGGAGAAGGAATGTGCGAAGATGAATGAGGGATCACTATATTAACGGTCTAGAGCCACGTTGATGCTCTTAATTGCCGTCTTAACGGGCTACCAATGAAGGCGCTTCCTTTTTATCTCACAGGTCTGTTCCTGTTCTTCTCATTTGGCGGAATATTTTCGTACTGGTAGAAAATGGAATATTGAAATTCTTTAAGGCAAAACGCATGCCGAAGCCGTCACTATTTTCAAATGTCAGTGTATTTTTTCACAGAAACGGTCGGATCATGGAATGTTCGGATGGACTTTTACTAGCTATTATTTCCTTTCACTGGAGGAATCCATCATCAGCAAAAGAGTTTCAAAAACTAGCAGCAGTAGCAATTGATGCATTTTTGTGCAAAGTGATCTTGATGCTAAAATCAACCATTACGTCCATCCAGCACTCTGTCTTTCCTTGTCTTCCACAATAATATCTGAAAAGTGGTTTGCACTAAGCTTGATTTCATTCCTGTCTAAAATGCTTTCGATACTGCCAGGATCCTTTCTAGAAGCCGCTGTCCACTAAGCACTGAGAAAGAATCTTTAACGAACATGTGAGCATGGTGCTGGGTTGTGAAGTGCGGCACTTACTTTGCTGTGCATTAAGGGTTAGCGAAGCCTGCCTCTCATACCTACTTATGGGGAACATTTTCAATGGTGCCACGACTAAGGAAAACATCTTAATGCTATGAGCTGTTGTTATGGTGTCTGAACATGTAGCTATTGCGCATACCAAGCACGTACTCCTTATTTTTCTACTATTTTACTTCAACTCATTATGTAGACGTCATAGCTTTTCCCGACGTATCTTTATTTGTTATGTAAGTACCATAACAACATGCTAGCTTTTAATCTTTCTCTACTGTGCGTAAACAGGGGTAACACTTGATTGGCAAAATGTAGTAGTGCCACAACATTTAATTCACAAATGTTGAGGACATGTACTCGCGCCTCCCCTCCAAATTTATGAGCAAAATTCATCAGTTCTGCTTTTCATTTCATTGGGCGGCTATAATTAACTCAAATTATGGCCTTCTGTTCTCATTGGCTGCGTTTGAAAGGTCGACCTTAGATGCACGAATCGAAAGGTGGCAACGCCCACGCCAAATAGTCTTTGACCCATCCGGTGCTTCGGCGCAAGCCAATGGCAAAATAAGTGGGTAGAGGGACCAAGGAGCTTGGCTGAAGTGTTGCCTCAAATAGATGCAATCTATTTTTGGTTATATTCCTCAAATGGCTTTTTTTACCTGACACAGTGGGAACCTTATATCTTTTAACCACGTCATACTTGAATGTCAGCAAAAGTTATGCATAACAAAATGGTCCCGGACGTGAACGAATGCTACAGTTATTAAACACGTTCCAAAGATGTTCACCACTAGATGAAGCTCCTCTTTGTAGAGCAGACTCACTTATTGTTATAAGTAACATTTTCTCACACCAAATTTTTCGGTGTCTCACATTCAGACAAACGTGAGACGCAAGGCAAGACACTGTCCCCCAAAGATGGCGACAGCAGGTCTGCTTAAGTACTTACACTTTTGTTTCAAGCATTGCATTTAAATAAATAAAAATCGGACCTAAATAAAGGGGCTTGCAGGGGATTATGGTTGAATTCTCTGAATTCTTTGTGACGATATTTTGATGGTATGCAAAAATATCAATCTTTACGATGTGGTGTCTACAGCATAGACAAAAAGTGGGCTAACTCATTAATTAGACTTTGGTTAGTTCCATAAATTCCCTAGAACGATTCTTTATGCTACCTTCTCAGTGGGTTTGCTTGTTAAGTCATTTTTTTTCGGCATCATTCAGGCGATGTATTGAAGCAAAAAGGAAATCTGGAAAGCAGCTCTGGCGACAAGAGAACTTCCAAAAAGGATCAACAGCAAAATAGAGGCGCTCCTACCCTATCTTTCACTACAACGCCCAGTGCCAACGCTGCTACTACAACTACTCTGGACGTCACAGAAACGGCTTCCACGTTCCTTCCAAACACTGTCCAACATCCCTACTACTCGGCTCCGCCTTTCTACACCACCGGGACCCCGCATCCCTCCCCCTTCTTTCCTGCACCACCTCACACTCACTTTGGTCCGCCTCCACCGCCGCCCCCCTGTTTCATCCCTCCTCCGTTGCCACCCTACTTCCAGCAGACTCACCACCCACCCGCACAACCTCCTCCTCCCTATCTTTTTTCTCCAGCCAATCCGGCTGCTGTAGTGGCAGGCGCACCTTACCTCTCCTTTCAGCTGCCTCCTCCTTCAATTACCCATGGCTTGCCAGGGCCTCTGCATCCAGCTGCGGGGTCCGTGTCCACTGGAACACCGCTGCTCGGTGTTCCACATACCTTACCCTTCGTCACTCCGACCACCGCTAGTCCTACTACCATTGGAATAGCAGAAGAGGAGCGCAACGCTATTGTTCGAGCAATTTCGAAAATTTCTCCACCGAAGGTAGGTAATGCTCTGTTGTTACTTTGGGGACGCATCCATGAGGAAATGAGTTTGGTGAAAAATAGAATCCACATAGGTCAATCCCAT